TGATGTTAGCTGATGGGTCTCTAACTTCTGTCCTACCAGTCCTCAACTGTGGCTTTTTTTTTGCCAGGCATGTTCCTATTGCAGTATTCTCCAACTATCAGTTAAAATAAATAAATAAGCAATCTCACCCACTTCTCTTCTACTTTTTTTTGAATTGTGATTATTTTAAAGGGTCATAGCAGAAGCAGTCTTGAGTTTCCTATTCCCTGGAAGTTTCTCTCCAACTTCCAAATCCGTTTCAGATATTGTTTGGTGAGATCTGAGAACTACAGGCAGATATTGTGCCCCAGTCTGTATTTGCAGCCATTCCAGCTGACTAGCAACATGTGTAGACTGTCTCCTTGGATGAGGTGCAGGAAGCAGTGAACTGCTGAGATGTCCTCTGAATGAAGAATTGATGGGCAGCCATTAGACTGTTAATTTTAATAGAAATGCTTGACCTGTGCATTATGGATGCAGTCTTGCTTTTATGGCTTTCCACTTTGTGTTATGACTGTATCTTTCTCCAGAGGCTGACTCCTTCTGGCTTTGTTACTAGTTACTGGTAAATCTTTTCTGAGATGCCTTGGCATGCTGTATTGCAGTGCCATCAGCATATGCACCTTGACAGCAAATCCGCTTCTTTTTGTAAAATATACTGACTGTTGCATCTATTCCTTGCTCTTCCTTTTGGTGGCTGTCATAGCACTGAAGCTGATTGGATGATGCTCAGGCCCAAGTGTTGAGGGTATGAGGGCAGAAGAGACCATAGACACTCTTAAGGGCTCTTACGAAGTTTGGGTCTTGCAGCTTCCCAGGTGCTCACAGATCCACAGCTAGATCCTGCTTGGAGACGTTTGCAGTGGGGTTAAACAGGAGGTCTGCAGCAGGAACCCTGTTCCGCTTCCCTCTCCTTTGTATGCTCCAAGGGCTGGGCTGGAGGAAAGATGGTCAGTGTGACTGTATGGTCTCCCTCCAGGCTTACAAGGTTGTCAAGTTTATAAAGCAACTCTGGCTTCGTGTGTTTCTCCTTAGTAAAACACCAAAACAATTTACTGAAGAAGTAAATACCTTAATATTGCAAGTAAAGAATTGTAACAGGGGTATGATTTTTTTTCTGCAGTAAGGTTAAACTTAAATTGCATTTTTTAGTATGAGTATCTTGGTTTAAATGCAATATTAGGTATCAGCAGACTTATTTACATGCAGGGATTAAATGGCTGAGACTTTTATTTCTTTAATTGCTTTAAAATGTAAAGCAGTTTGAGGTTTCTTGTTGCTTAGAGGAGTAGCAAGAAGGACGTTCTTGTAGCAGTGGCAGTCTGGCTGTAGGAAATGTCGGAAGTGCAGCTGAATAATATAAATATGTAGATTTAAAGAAATCATTTTCTTGGCTTTATAAGTTTTATTAGCTGGTCTGTGCTCATCACATTGCATTTAGCAGATAATGGTTTTGCATATTTTGTCTCTTAAATCAGTGAGCAGTGATAAGCATATCGACAGGTCCTGGTCCATATGCTGAGGTATGGCATGGAGTCTGTTCAGACCAGGCGGGAGTGAAGGCTCTCTGTGCCTTATCCAAAGGCAGAAACTCAATCCCAGGAAACACCTCACAGGTGGCAGCAGCCCTGCTGCCGTCCTGACGAGATTTTGATAAAATTCCAGTGTGGATGCTCTCGGAGCGAGCTGGCACGTGTTGCTGCTGCGTGCAAACCTGCCTCAGAACGCGGCCGGTTGCTTTTCGCCTCGTTCATGCCAGGTTTTTGGAGGCTTTGCTTCGAAGTCCCACCAAAAGCCATGGCTAAAAGCATCTCGCAGCTTGCTGGGGCTGGTGGTGCTGCCGAGCACCCTGGCTGCTGACAGCCGTGCCACTCCTCCAGCTGCCAAGATCCATTGCTGAAACTATACTTTTTTTATCAGGTCATGTTTGTGTCTGGCAAAGCTTTGTAGACACAACATCATTAACAGCAGCGCATATTTTCACAAGATTTACCTCTTCAACACTTTTTCCAAGTTAGTAAATCATAGCTTCTTTAATGTCCTGCTGGCTGTGTGAAAAACAGGAATTTATGTAACAAGCTCCCGGCCGCAAACCTTTTCCTGTTAGGAAAATTTTTTTTGCATTGCTGGCAGCGTTAGGAGACAGCTCTGTTACTCAAAGAGCGACCTCAGATGTCCTCGGTACAATAATACCAGATTATAACATTTTTGATGACTAAGGAATAGCAGTGATTTCTTAAATATTTAACTCTTCTGGTCCAGAGAAGAGGGAACCGCGCCTTAGCACAGTATTTTCTCTGCCGGTGTGTTTTGTGTGTTTGATATACCTATTTTGATAGTAAACAGTGGGCCTGAGCCAACTGGGTATGTTTACAAAATACAGTAAAAAAAAAAAAAAAAAAGAATGAACTGATGCAGGAGGTTTTTTAATCAACAGAACAACTTTTCTTGCGACATTTCTAGAGCTGGACTTGGGTCAGCTGGGGATTCGGCTGTGGCCCTTGAGTGAAAACAACAAGCTGCGCCAGGACGGCCTCACAAGGCTTCTTGGTAAGCCTTTGGGGCCACAGGCAAGTCCAAAGATAGATGTTTTGGGCTTACCCTCCCAAAGTGTGAGCTGTACCTGGTGAATACACAATTTCAGGGCCTTCCCCACTGCTCTGTGGCTAGATAGAGGATGAGATTTTGATTGCAGGGTTACCTGCAGTGAAGACATACAGTCCTACTTTAATTAGTTAATATGAGAATGGCTTCCTTTCTAAATTGAGTAAGGAAGCACTCAGATCATCACTGGTGTTTGTTTTACTGGGATAGTTTATTAAAGATGGTTCTTTGGAGGGGAAGGAGATGTTGGAAAGGCCCTGAGGTTAGGCACATGGTTTCACTTCTTGCTGTGCTGGTTGAACATGGACATGAACATGAACATGAACAAGCTAGTTGTGCCATCTTCTGCTGTCAAAGAGTGCCTTGTGCCCCTGTTTGGGGTGAAGCTGCTCTCCTGTGGGGGTAGTTTCAGGAGACTGCTGCCTGGCTGCCCTCATCTGCAGAAGGTCTTCTCTTCAGCCCCAGAATAACCTTTCCTGTTGAGCTCTGCAGATGGCCAGGCCTTCATTGAATGGTTGGCTTCCTGTAGTCCACAATGTGTCATGGCCCTTGCAGGTTGTTTGAGCCTGTTGTCCTTGGTTTGAGCCGGGCACCATGAGATGACTGGTTTCACCTGGCATGCCTCCTTACGGTCTTTGCTCCTGTTCTTCTGTCAGCTGGATGTGTAAGCAATGGGGAAAGATGGGCATCTTTGAGAAAGCAGATGTACACAGGAGACTGGGTAGAGAAGGTGAAGGAAGATATTTCTGGAGATGCTGCCGTCACAGGGTTGGGAAATACAGCAAAAGCAGCCAGAGACCAGAGCAGTGGCTGTGTCCCTTGTCCTCTGGTTTGACTCTCAAGGCATGCAAAGCGCCATGAGCTGTATCATCTTCTCAGTTTGGTGCTGTAGTGTGTCCAGGATGTCAGATTAAAAACAGATAATTAATAAGAAAATTAAGATAGAATGGGAGGAGGAAGGTAGGAAAACAGAGAAGACAGAACTTTTGATTGTCTTGATGTGCTGCCACGGGTTTTGTAGATCTGGCAGACATTTGGTGTTCTGAGATGAATGGCCTGATGGTCAGGATCAACTTCACTGCTGCTTTCTGGAAGGTCAGTCTGGTTTTGCTCCCCTAAATTTATTTTTAAGACAACATGCTAAGAAATGATTCTGAATGGAGGCCAGCTACTACCTCACTAATTTCTCTGCCACTGAGGTCTCATTTCTGGTTTACTTATTTTATGTGTTGTTTTGTGTTTCCCTCCTACTTGCTCTACATGAATTGCAGTCCAAGCACAGACCATGGGTCCCCATGTAGACTGTGCTACCATCCTACCTTCCTACCAACGTGTATGGCTGCCTATTTCAGCACTCCTTGAGATTGAGACCTTTTGTTAGCAATTATGTCAAAATATAGGACAGCTTTTCTGTTGACAGATGTTCTTTACATGTGCTCAGCAGAAGATTACATGAAGAAAAAAGTGTTTAATCTACAGCTTGGTAATGCAAAGGGTAGTCTCTTGTTAACAGGTCAACCTGTGGGCTTGGAGTTTTGATTTTGGGAATTTTTCTTTTTTGTTTTTTGTATGTAAGAACAAAACGTGAAACTTGTCACTGAGGAGATAATTAAAAGCTTCAGTATCTCTGGTCAGTCTTGGCACAAGGTGTCTTGTGCCCTCGGGTATTAGAAGAATCAACTTCACATATTAAAATGTTGATTTTGAAAGAGAGAGATGGTTTTCAGACTGAGATTTTAAATGCAGTTTTGTCTATTTTTTTTTTTTTTTTGGTCTGTTTGCATTCCTTTCTCCCTTAGCTAATTTGTGATGTTTATTTATAAAAGTTGGAACTTAATCCTCAGCTGATTTTCTATATATGTTTTCTCACATAACACAAATAATATAAACCTTACTAATGCTCAATGGCAATAATCACAGGCTGGCATGTTTGCAGGGTTTTAGGGATGTGCAATGTGAGGACCTATTATAAGGACCACAGAACTAGATCTACCATTCCCAAACTTCATGTAAAATAATGAAAAATAAGTAAACCCCTAAATGCAATCAGGTTCATTTGTTAGAGTGAAGCTGTTAATGAGATCTTCAGTCACCTCCTTGGCCTTCTAGTATATTTTGTCTCCTTTATGCAGAATTTGTATTTCAAAACAGCTCCTACAGTGTTTAACTTCTTATAGTGCCAGATGTGATTGGGCCACGTGACAGTCAAACTGACATAGCAACTCTTTGCAAGCTCATTTCAGGCAGTTCTGAGTGGTGAGCTGATAAAAGGTGTTTCCAGACAGGCATGTTTTCCCATTTTGTGATTAGGCCTATGTTTTCTAACAAAATTAAAACATATTTGGAGTGACAAATATTTAGTATGCCATAAAAGATGCATGTTTTCTCTATTTCTTACACCTTATTTTGTTTTTCAGAATTCAATCCGTCACAACCTGTCTCTGCACAGCAAGTTCATCAGAGTGCAGAATGAAGGAACAGGGAAGAGTTCCTGGTGGATGCTCAATCCTGAAGGAGGAAAGAGTGGCAAGTCTCCTAGGAGGAGAGCGGCGTCCATGGATAACAACAGCAAGTTTGCCAAAAGCAGAGGCAGAGCTGCCAAGAAAAAAGCATCCCTTCAGTCTGGTCAAGAGGGAAATGGTGACAGCCCTGGATCGCAGTTCTCGAAGTGGCCTGCAAGCCCCAGCTCTCACAGTAACGATGACTTTGATAACTGGAGTACATTTCGACCTAGAACTAGCTCTAATGCTAGTACGATTAGTGGAAGACTTTCTCCTATTTTGCCAGAACAAGATGACCTTGGAGATGGGGATGTGCACTCCATGGTATACCCGTCATCAGCCACCAAAATGACTTCTACTCTACCCAGCCTTTCAGAGATGAGTAATTCTGAGAACATGGAAAATCTTTTGGATAACCTTAATCTCTTGTCACCTAATACGTCAATGACTGTGTCAACCCAGTCTTCATCTGCTACCCTGATGCAGCAAACACCAGGTTACTCTTTCGCATCCTCAACCACAAGTATAGGTTCACCAAATCCAGACTACAGGAAATTCACGTATGCTCAAGCTAGCATGAACTCTTTGCCCCAGATTCCTATGCAGACTCTTCAAGACAGTAAATCAAGCTATGGATCGATGAGCCAATTTAACTGTCCCGCAGGGCTTCTGAAGGAGCTGCTGACTTCCGATTCTCCACCGCACAATGATATCTTGGCATCGGTAGACACTGGTGTTTCCCAGGCTGGTGGCAGGGGGCTGGGCCAAAATGTGCTGATGGTTGCTAACTCGGTGATGCCAACTTATGGCAGTCAACCACCCCACAACAAAATGATGAACCCTAACACCCGCCCTCACCAAGGACATAACCAGCCAGCACCTGCAGTTAATGGTCGTGCCTTGTCACACACAGTGAACACCATGTCACATACATCAGGTCTAAATCGCTTGTCGACGGTGAAGACGTTACAAGTGCCTATGAGTCACTCGATGCAGATGAATGCTATGAACCCGTACGCCCCTGTTAACAGTTGCAATGGCTACGGAAGGGTGGGAATTGTTTCCCTCCACCAGGAGAAGCTTCCCAGTGACTTAGATGACATGTTAATTGAACGGTTGGACTGTGACATGGAGTCGATTATCCGTAATGACCTTATGGATGGAGAAACATTAGATTTTAACTTTGACAATGTATTGCCTAACCAAAGTTTTCAGCACAGTGTAAAGACAACCACACACAGTTGGGTGTCAGGCTAGGATGTTAGTAGGAGGTAAGCTGTGCTTTTTATAATAAATCTGAAAACCGCTAAAGCAAAAAGAAATGTCAAAATGCATAAAATCAGGGTGGTCTTCTGTGTTGGCATGTGAAGTGCCTCTATTAGTCAGTCATTTTCCAGCCCTTTGTTGGTTTGCACTGGTGCATTAGGATTGCCATGTACCAACTGCTGTTACTTCATGTGGAGCACTAATGTTTTGCCATTAATACTTTAAACAAAAAAATTAAAATTGCTGGTAGTTAGCAATTGCTGAATAGTTGGGGGGGGGCCCCCCCCCACCATTTAAGGTAACTTAAAGTTAGTTTGAGCATATTTTAATGGATTTAATCTTTCGGTGTGAGTGTTAATTTGTTCTTTTTGTTGTTTTTTTCTTTCTTCTCAGGCTACGGTTAAATTCTCCAGACTTGTCTGACAGCAGGAACTGAGAAAAGCAGTACAAAGATGTCCTTCACCTTCCTTTTTAATTTTCTCGACAAAGCTGTGTGCATGCACTAGCTTCACTTGGGGGTCATTTTTTTGGGTCTTTTTTTCTTCCTTTCGTCAGAGTTGGCAGCAGACAGAGTATTTTCCTGTACAGGATGTTTGCCCAAGATTTGCAGGTTATGTGCTGCTGTAGATAAGAACTGTGCCATTGGAAATTTCATTACTCTGAAGTGCCAAATTCACTACACCATGTAATCACAGCAAAGACTCTTACTTACATCATGTTGTGCTTTCGGTTTTGTACAGTATGATCTGTAGAAGAAGAATTGTTTTTTAAGACTTACCTGTTTTGGTCCAAGAAAAATTTATAAACTTTTGTAAGAATACTGTGATGATCTCATGCCCTAAGTAAGTTTAACCTTCATTGATGTTACCTGTGTTTTGATGAATTGAGATAACTGTGGACTTGCCTTGCAGCAGTATGAACTGCATTATTTTACTCAAATTTGCCACACATTTCATACGGGAACAGAATAGCCTGTTAAATATGATCCTAATAAACTCACTATTCAAAACAAACAGTAAGTTAAATGCCATTTGGTAAGTTACCTGTATTCATGTAAATTTATGCAAGAATATATCTGGATTTCATTGTCAGACTAATGACTATTGTTGGACTTAAGATAATTTTTGGAATACTTTCCAAGCTATTTTTCTTATAGTTAAAGTCTACTTTTGTTACATAGGCAACCTAAAAAAGATAAAAAAATATCTGAGATCTGGCAGCATTCATAACCTCTTCATTTTGTACAGTATTTTAACTGGATTAAGTACATGTTTTTATAAATTTCCCTAGCACTTGGGAGTGCTAATAAAGGAAAAGCTTAATAAGGATCTTGAATACGAAACATTTCTGTCCCTTTTTTGTTGTGTGATGTATAAATATAGACAACTTTATGTTTAGGAAATATTTAATCATTTTTATATATGCATTTTTAGAAATGTCATCTGCTTCTACTATAATTTTAACTCTGACTGCCGCAAAGTGTTAAGTATTCATTGTTAGATGCTTGTACAATGCTTCACATTTATATTTATTTCATGGAGGTCTCATAATGTTTGTGCACTCAAGAGCAGGACCTTTTGGAGAAATTCATCATTTTATTCATATATTATTACCAATTTTAGTAAAATTGATGACAAAACTGTAATTTGTCTTAATTAACGATAGGTTTAGGGTTTGTTGGTGTTCCTGTTGTCAAGCAGTACATTTGAAGAGGCAAAAGTGCTACTTTTGAGTGGGAGACTAAAACTTCTGTCATGCCCTGTTGCAGGACAAAATATTAGTTAGGGGTTTTTTACATAAGAAAGACAAAGTAAGTTGTAAAGTTATACCAATAGGTGAGCTTGAGGGTAGGGGACAGCATTAATGACAGAGGCCTTGTTCCTGTGGGAAAACCTGGTCTTGCTGGAATAGGCACACTGACAGCTACCTGAGTGTTTTCAGGATTGGGTCTTGAATAAATGGTTTCTGATTTTTGACATTGCACGTTGCAGTTTTCATGGATGTGTGCATAAGAGCTCTCACCTGTGTTTTCACGCCATTGTGTTAGAGAAATCCTTGGAGCTTTTTTATGCAGTGACAGGATGAACATCTTTTGTGCTAGGACTGGTTGTAGTGAAGAAGGGGAGAAATAAATATTTTTCCATAGATTTTTCTATTGTCTGCATAACCCACAATTGGAAAACATTCTAATTGAAACTTATCTTCCCTGTAGTGATGGCATATGGTGGAGAAAGAAATGGGATGTGCCAAGAAAATTAAGTTTAGTAACAAGCCATATATTAATGATCCTGTTACGACTTTTCTAAGGCTCTGCAATGTATTGATGTGCTAGCATTTAGCTCCCTGTTGGCTTATATCACTATCAATTACAGCTGGTCCTACTTTTTTACATATCTGACTATGGCTGTCAGCAATTCCAGAGGCTGATGTTGAGCTGTCCTGTGATACAAGATCTCCCCCAGCATGAAATCGGTCTTTGAACTTTGTTGAGCAAAATGAAATACTCTTATTGCTGAAGCCTCAATAAAGCTGCCTGCTTTCACAGGCAAGTATCTCTAGTAGCATCTTGACCATCGAATTCATAGTGTCTGAAATGTAACGATAAATCCTGGCAGTAGGGCAAGCAAGAGGGCTCACATATGAGTTTCTGGAGATGCTGCATGTACAAAAATGTTTGCTCCTAAATGGGCTCTGATATGCATAGGGCAAAGCAGTTGTAAAATTCACCTCTGCATGCATAGCAAGCATCTTAATACTAAACTCCATGGGGTTACAGCTGGACATGCTACATTTAACAGTATACCTCCTGGTTTTTATTTACTGCTACTGTATAAATTCCTGTATAGAGGTGTTTTCTTAATTCCCTTTTATAATGATGAATAACCTAAAGGTAGCCGTTCCTTAATTACAGCAGTTTGTAGGAAGCCCCTTTAAGTATTGTGAGAAAGCAGTTGGAGATAATCACAGGTTTGGGCTGTGTGGTCATTTTTTGTTGGTTTGGTTTGGTTTAGTTTTTTCTTGTTTTATTTCTGTCTTCTTTTTTTTTTTTTTTGTGGTGCCATTTTAATATTTTGCAGTTGTAATTCTGGAATACTGTGAAGTCTGGTGAAGGGGCGTGTTGTCGGCCTTGAAAACAAACATTATGTGACCTCGAGTAATAAATCCTTTTTCAGTAAAAGTACCAAGTTTCTGGAGTAACTTAGTTTGTCAGAATTGTTGTAAATGATTGGTTTGTGAATTGTGCAGATGATCTTACCTATGCAGCCTTGTTTTTGACTTTTCTCTGGTTTGTACTGTTATTAAAAGTTTATTGTATTATAGAGCTGTTCAGATATTTTAAATATAAAGATGTATTGTTTCCATAATATAGCTATATGATATATGTTTAGGTAGTAGATGCATTAATTGGAAAGCTCTGCTTTGATAAACTGACTATTTGCCTACACTTATAAGCAAAAGTCATATTGCTTATTATTGGCTTAAGTCAACAGAGCATCCCTAAGAAGAGAAGTTAAAATTGGACCAATTATAAAACAGTATAAAATTTGCACTTGTTAAACCACTGGATGTATGTTAGTACTTTTTTATTTTTTTACTGATTTGAAATTCCTATTTTCATGGTGAAATTGCTAGGATCCTTAATTTATGACTGATTTTAATAAGGTATTCTCATTATTATTATTTTGGTAATCATAATGTAAAATGAAGCATGGTTTATGCAAGCAAAAAAGCAAATTACTCGGCGTTAAAACTGGCCTCCTTTTTTGAGGGTGTTCCACAAACCAGCAATATCGAGAGATTGGCATGTACATACTGCTAGTTCTATTTGCGAGTGGTGTGACAGCTCTTCAACGCTTCACTGCTCTGACTTAGTCACATTGCAGAATTAAAATTCATACGTGGATATTTTCAGCAAAAGTGCCTGATGTACTTCTACAGACACACGAGAACAATCCCTGACAGTTTGTTGTATAAAGCCATAAATGTATATAAATTATGTTTAAAAGGTTTTGTGTCCTTTCTTGTATACAGAGAATGAGATTTGTACCAGGATTCTACTTGTGATTAGTAATCCTTCTACTCAGACTTTGTTGTAATCACTTTCCTTACAGCGTAATCTTTTTAATGATGATGATGATCATTATCCATTTGGACAATCCTGATGGCATTAGCAATTTTATGTGGAAAAATACTTCATGGTACCAAGTCTTGCCTGGCAAGATGATACCATATTAACGAGCAAACACTAACTGCAGAATAGTTAACAAATTTTCCATTACTTGCTATAAAGGAATTTCTCTCTCTTGGCGTTGCTTCTGGAATTGGAACCGTAGCAGGTACAGGAACCTAATAGGGCTGTGTTACCAGTGTTTTATCAACATAGTGTGCTAAAAGTAACTTGTTTACAAGTCTTTGAGACTAAACGCAAGAAGAATCCATGCCTGACTTGTAGGGCTTGCTGTGTAGAGATGCTTTGTTACTGGAAGCTGCATTAGGCAGCATCAGACCGTGTTGCCAGTGCTTCGAGAAGCGTAGTTCAGAGAAAATGGCAAAAAAACCTCCTGAAATCTTTTCAGAATGGGTATTTGTAAGTATAAGCTCTTAATAAAATTGCTATGACATGAGATGTTAATTAGTGTATCAGAATGTTATGTAATACATTGTTAAAGAAGGAGAGAAAAAAACCCACCAAAGGACGCTGACATACTTCAAAACACAGGAAAGAATTAGTCATTTAGTTCAAATTGCATGTTAGATCCTAATGCCGTTAAATGTGGGAGAGCGCGGGCTTGGGAGAGACGACTTTCTCTTCCCACCACTCCCCCTGTTAAGGTGAGACAGTTCATGAAGTCCTCTCATCCTTCTAGTCTTTCATTGTCTCTTCTTGCCTTCCTCTGCCCTTCCTGCCTTCCTGAAGTACATACCTTTTCTTGGAGTAAGAGCTTTTCATTTGCCAAATACTTGGTCTATATAGGCCAACCTGCGTGGTGCTGCTCCTTTCACAGTCGTGCTTTACGCTGCAGCCGCAGGAGTGCTGATGTGAGTACAGAAAGAAGGAATGTCTAATTTTATATTTTTTCCCCTTTTTTTTAAATTTAGATTGTGTTTCAAAACAGAGCTGAAAGAAAGGAGAAGAGGCTGCCAAAACAGACAGCCAATAACACCCACGCCACAGTAGTCTTGTGAGGCCCAGAGCCCTGCTTGCCTGCAGGTGGGGAGGGAGAGGGGT